CCCCCCCTCCGACATTCCATGGAAGAGCCTTTTACACGAAGAGCCCCGGGTCTTGGGTTGGGGAAAATTTTTCTTGCCCGAGGTAACATAATTTACTGAAGGTTGGGTTCACATCACGCCCTGGAGTCCACCGCTTTCTGTCGTCCTCTCTCTCTTGAACTAACTCCGCCATGTAGTGTACCGGTCACCCCTGTGCACCTCGCACTCTCCAAGCAGTTGGCTTTCGCCAACGGTGGGCCGCGAGACGTGCGTGCGCCCGCTGTCACACACCTCATCTGACGCCACGCATGCCCGTTCCGACTGCTGCTGCTGCTTTTCTGCCATGTACAATCGTCGTTGCAAAACCTGTCGGGGCCGGGAACCAATAACAGAGGGGCGAAACTTGCACCCTCCTGAAGGTTGCAGTTCACTGGCTGAGGGGGGAGCAGGAAGAATACAGAAGGGAAACCTTGGAGAGCAGGCGGCAGGTGGAAGAGTCCGGGGGGTCTGACGCCATCCGCAACCGAAACCCCAACCTCAAAGCATGTATGTGCCGTGAATTCTTCTGGTTACATTGTCAACGTTATCCCATATGCCCAATGACATCTCCGCTACTTGTACACAGAGTCAGTTGCCGTGGATCGGCTGTCGTTGAATTTTTTGTTGGTCAGACGGCTTCCTACAGATTTCCCTTCCACAGTTCTCCAACTACTATAATACCAGCAGTATTGATGTCCTCCGGAGTATTTCGATTTATTTCAAGCTCGAGTTCTCAAGTGCTAATTGCTGAAGTGCGAGCGCGTTCTATACCTCATGTCTTGTTTGTTCGATCTCCAGACGTCGCAGGGGGAGGGTACGCACCGGGACGGATGGCCCATCAGGGTATCTGAGCATTTTTGAGGCACCACCTCCCAGCCGCTGGTAAAAAAAAGGCGGGCCGTTGTCTTCTCGGGGTCGGTGGATAGAGCCTGAGAGTTCTCAAACATACCTTGGAGGTTGAGCACGCCCTGCGTCGAATGCAGGGTATACGGATGGTGTGAGAAAAGGAAAAGACATGGGCTAACGTACCGTCGAGCCGAATCTCTCCGTTAGAAAATGATTTACATTTTGTGACACCCAACAATCGGGTGATGCTCAAACACGAAGTTCGCTGATCACTGCGGCGAAACAACAAGATAGCTACCCTATGTAGAGACATGTTCAAGCAGTTCATCCATGGGTCGGATATTTCCTACGCTCTAGATAGTTTGTTGTTGGATCGTTTTTGAAGTAGTGTAAGGGTTGCGCTGAGAGGAAGTGCGACTGGTGAAGGTGTAGCTGGGCCTACAATAAAACGTCTCGTGGCTCTCGAGTGTTCGTATTATATTCATGATGTATGTTCGTGGTGCATGTGTGGGGAGTATCTTCCCGAAGAAGAGGTCTGGAATATACGAAAGGGGGGATGCCCTGTCCTTATCCACTTTGAGGGCAAGCCAACATGGCGAGCGTTTTCGGGATGAGCGAGTAGCTGTTGCTTCAATTTTTCGAACGCGCCGGTTGCTCCGCGTGACGCTGTTTTGTCTGCTTCATTTAGAGTAAATCAGAGGTAGCTTTACGTTTTTTGTGGCGAGGTCAAGCGAACGCGTCATGGGTTGTTCGGTCTGTGTCGGCATAGCACTAGATACGTAAACATCGACCCGTCAGACGTGCGACACGCCGCCTGGAATGCCTGTCACCGCCAACGAAACACTGCTGTTATTGTGGGATGGGCGCGCTTCACTCTGTGGCCGGCCTGTGCTCAACATTCCTCAAGACGACAGGAGCTTACAGTCATTGCCTCACGAACACCATCTGTGGCCAACGACGTGGCTCGAGGTTGCCACAATCCTATCCTAGTGATTGGCACGCCTGGACTACATGAGATGCATAATATTGTGTCGCTGTGGGGATGTTCGTAAATAGCGAAGTTGGGCAGTCTCTTCTGTGAATTTCCTATTGCCGAGTCACGGCAAGGTGCTTGTCCGTGATACTGAAAGAGCTATTTTCTGGTCGTGGGTGACCACTGCCGCCCTACACACCAAGACACCTGCCCTAACATAGACGAAGCTCCGCTGCTCATCAGTATCCTTCCATCTAATCTCTGGCAGGAGAGGTGCGGGGTGCCCGTGCCCGCAGCAGAGGCAAGGCCCAACCTACCCGGAAAATTGTCGTCGTTGAAGCCACAGTAGTGCAGATCATCGGTGGCTCTACATCTCCTCGATAGCCACGGTTGCCAGCAACAGTAGTGCACAACAATCCAAGCGGAGAGCGGTTGTGGTGGAAGGGGACCTTTCCTGCCTCATCATGGTCTAGTCTGAAGGCAAAACTGCCTTGCTTGTTGCAAAGTCTTGAAATCGTCCTAGTCGGAGAGCGCCGACATGTTCTTGTGGTTCTCGTAGTTCGGAAGGTTATGCAATGTCCAAGTCTGCAGAGATTCATTCAGGCACCCGATCGTTCAAATTTATGAAAAAAATGAAAAAGTGGCCTTCATTCATCCGGCTGTCCTCCGGGCATCTGAATGAAAACGTGGACTCCTCCGACTACAGACTACATATAGTCTACCGAATGAAACGAACGCCTATCTTCCAGGCGCGCGTTGAAAACGGCCATTTGGGGTATAAGCTATCTTTGCCAGGACCTTTTCCGTGCCGCGGGGACGCGGCAGAGCAACACCGAGCTTGTTGTTCACTTGTTAACGCAAGCTCACCGACGGGGGGCTCGTGGACGGCATGAGTTGCACACACCGTCCGTACGCACAGCTGCCTCGCCGTAGCCTCCCAAAATACATAGCCTACATGCATGCATTACGTCCTCATATCCCAACACGTCCTAAGATCTTGTTCCCCTTTCCTCTTTCGGCGCTGACAGCATGCAACGACTCACTCTTCATCTCCACACCTTATCCATACTTGTACTGGTACACAACTGCCTCGAACATGCAGTCGTCACAGGGCAGCAGTACGTGGGTCCTGGTGAGAGAAACTGCGCAGATTTTTCCTCGATTGGCTAGATGCACATGAGATAACACGCGACCGCCATGGTACGCGGGAAAACGTGTGCTACTGTACATAGCATACCCTCAGCAGTGGCACGGGCACTGCTAGGTTGGCGCGAACTGATGAGAACAGCAGACACGAGCGTCGACGGCAACGGTCAAGTCCTATGCCGGCGCAATTACCCAGATGAAGGGACACCTCTTCGTCGATGGAAGCATGTTCGGGTTCGGGAGGCGTTTTTCAAGGGACCATAGTGGGAACATCCCCGGGCCAAAAAGTTTGAAAGATAACATTTGAACCGTTCCTCCTGCAAATCCGCTCCCTTCAACACTTCCCCTTCGACTGTGGCTTTTTCTCGAACGTGTAGGCTTTCTGTGTATTGATTTTCCTGATGGCACTTGCTGTGCGACTCGCTTTGTTGTCTCGATGCATTGTATAATAGGCGTAATAATACCTGCTGATGGCGCCGCATACATACATGCTGCACCGGTCGCCCGGGGGTGGTCTTCTAGTGGGTAGCCTCGTAGCCTGCGAAGGGCCAGGTCATGGGTCGAGTTCCGACAGAGTGCGTTTTTTTCTCGCTTATTAAATCCTGGTCTCCGTTGGAAGCGACGCGCTGCAAAGCTCGTTGTTAGTAAACTTGCTCGACTTCATAAATAAGTCGCGAGGGAAAGGATTGCTGTACCCTTCTCGCGATAGAAGTATCTCACGCAGGAACCGCAGGAGGGGGTCCAACCCCCCCTCATATGTGACCCCGGTTGGGTCGTCTAGCTGGTAGAAGTGGAGGATAGGGGCCAGAGGGGCAGACGACCGAATCCAATGATGGGAGGAAAACAAAAGTAAAAAACATCGACTGGCTGCTGTTGTGCTGCGGTATGTACAGCAGTGCGTGTGGGACAAAATTATTAACACAAGCCACAAGCCACAGCTGCATGGTGCATATCTGTCACACCCCGATGTCTGGAAAGAAGAAGGCGTCGCTGCAGAGACACGACTTATGCATACTATCTGAGACTATCCAGTACACCAGATGGCCATGCGTATGTGTGTATGTAGGCCAAGGCAAAGGATCCCTTTTTTCGCGGCTGTTACCGTATATGACACAAGATAGCACACCCCCTGGATCAATTTTCAAAGCTCAATCACGCCACAACGAAGAGGATGTAAAAATACCCTATGATTCCATTGTTAATCTGTCTCTGACTCTTTTCTATGATAGAGATGGACTCGTTGTGTCATATTAAGAAGAAAAAAAAAATGAAACAACACATGTTCGGAGAGCTCTCAATCAACGAGACAGCTTCAATGTCACCGGTTTCGGCGCTGTGACTCTTTCTGCTGCTTAGAAATCGGGGTTTGAAAATCGGTCCAGGGGGTGTGTTATCTTGTGTCATTTACGGCAGTCCTTCTGCTGCCGTGTCTCCCTGATGCCGTATAATGCCCAGACCAGGGCGGGAAAAGTAGTCGGCGCTTAGGCGCTGCGCCGAAAATCGCATAAAAACGGCGCTTGCGCCAAAAAATAATTGGGGTATCTGCGTCAATGCGGCGCAAAGCCCCCGACGCAATTTTTGCCGGCTGCCGAAGAAAAAAAGATATCTTGCCGTACTTTCGGCGCACAAACCTGCGGGGCCCCCGCAACAAGTTTAGATTGCATGTGCTAGAACTAATAGGGTGCGACACACAAAACGCCCGACTACCCAACCAACAGTACCCAACACCTTTCGTCTGCACCTTCCCAACATAACATATATGAGACACACAAGACAGCTACCAAACTGATTTGTTGAGCCTGTTACCCACAGGGGAGATGTCCCTATATGCTGTCTGGGAAATCGTAGACACACAGGTAGTTTTCTCTGACGCTATGATTCCATTGTTAATCTGTCTCTGACTCTTTTTTTTTATTTTTCTCTTTTCTATGATAGAGATGGACTCGTTGTGTCATATTAAGAAAAAAAAAAAATCCACCATCCAGCCAGCCATCATCATGCACCCATCACCATCACCCCTGCTACCAGACAGACCAGAACAGACCAGCCTGCTGCTATTGCCATGGTGTCTTGTGTCTTGGTGCGCTGTCGCGCTGGTCTCCATCTGCTCCATGGGTCCAAAATGTTTCACACGGATGAGAGTTGCAGCCAATTCGACAACTGTGACACCCCTGAGCTGGCGTGTCACGGATGTGCTCGACTGCTTCACCAGAGATGCAAGGAGTTACAATACGGCCGGGACGAGAGTGATTCTGTCTCGTACCCAGAGCGCGTGCATTGTGGAAGTCGCCACCTCTATTGCAACATTATGGGCTGGTGTTGCAGTAACGGCTCCCGGAAGAACGGGGTTGACTCCGATTTTGAAAGACTAGGAGCTGAAACGAAAGTGGCGCCAACAGTGGGACTGATAAGAAGAAGAAAAACAAGCTGCGAAGAAAGCGAAGGAGGGCCAGGGCGATGCTGCCTTGCGGTAGAGAGCAGAGAGAGCAGCTGGTAGAAAGGTTTAGAGTTGAGAAGAGAGCAGCAGATTGTAGAGTGGAGTAGACTGCTGCCTGCTTGTTACTGCTACTGGATGGAACATCAGCTGCACTGGAGAAAAGATATGTGGCATGTATTGTATGTGCACATGCAGCCTGTAGCCTGTATTATAGTCTCTGGTTTGGTAAGCGCTGTGCTGTACACCAGGGGGTTTCCCTTCGTTCGAAAAAATACGAATAAAATGATCTCTCGCTTTTTTTACTCTTCGAAGTATTTAATTTGGTGTGGTGATTTGCTTCTGTAAAATAAAGATGTAACATGTCAAATTTACACATTGAAATGTCAGCTGGTAGCTGGTTAGGCTTTTGCGTCGAATATGCAGACGCGCACTGACCGGCACCTACTGCTACCTACAATAGTACGAACTTAGGAACAAGACTAGTTCAAACAGCATAAGTGCCAGAAAGTGACGAAATGAGACATCGCACGGAAAAAGATGAATGAAGGTGAACTTCAAAATTTGTGTCATGACTGCTGTGACTGACCATCATCAACATAACAATAGAAAATACCTCTACTTGTACTAAATAATAATCTATCCTATGTTTGCTGGTGGGGTGGTCTGTTGTTGTAATGATGATACTCTATACCACACACACGAAACGACTACTGTAAGTTTTATTATCTAATATTGATTGAATCGCACTCTATGGAGAGAGTGTCAACCTTGCAATGCCGTCTTTGTTGTGGTCATTCACCAACTGTAGGTGTTGTGGTGACATCTGCTTGGGACCACTGCTGTCTCAGTGAACCCTTGATAGTGTTTAGGGAATCGTAATCATCCCTTCTCGAACGACTCCGTACGTGAGAGGAATCACAAATCTAGGCATGATTATGTAATATATGCACAGTAGTACGCGTGAGATAGAGATAGTGCGACTCTAACGCCGTAACGTCTGGATGGTCGAGGTTAGGAACTACACCGGCCGTGGATATCGCTCAGGTCGCTTGTACTGTCATCATGTCCATGCGTTTTTACCACGGAGCGGATTGATTGCTACACCAACATGGACAACCCGTTGGTGGACGGCTCGTCCACCTGGCTCAAAACGGGTCTTATCGCTGTTCACCCTCGCCAACGTCACCTAGAACATGCAATTTTGGGGTGCATTCGATCCACACAGGTTTCACAGCAACCGACGTCGAAAGAGATCCCAAACAAAGCAGAGGCAGCACGGACGCGGATGCCAAATTTTCCCGAAGTTGGTGGGACGGTTATTTTCATTCTGGACCGGCTGGGTGTCATCTTGGGGAGGGGACTCCGAGCACCTACCGGTGGCGAGGAACTGACTGGGGCAAAAACCTTGACGGCGAGTTAAAGCGCCGCGATTTCAATGGCCTTGTTGTCATAGCCTTTGTTTATTCGCGGTTGATTTTTTGTCGTCATGACAGCCGCCGGTTTCCCCCCCTCGCCCAAATGAAACCAACAAGCTTTTCTTCCAGGAAAACTGTGGCCTCGTGGGTCCCTGTCACCCTTTCTTTCGCCAATTATTTCTGAAGAACCGCCGTTTCCAGCGGCAACGTAAATCGCGAAGAAGTGAACGATTCTTCCCCGACGATACTCGACTTTCCCGGCATTGTGGGTTCCGACGGCATTGCACAGGCCACACCTTACCTCGGATGTGCGCGATGCTCTTGGCACGACTATCTAGCAAGGAATCGGAAGCTAGTGTGGCTGGAACCCACCCCTCGATCACACAATAGTAAAGTCCGTCTTGATGCTGCTCTCTCGCAGGCCTTGTGCTAGCTTGGACTCACGCGATCTCAAACGGTAACGGCGACATCGCAGTTGTGGTCGAGCCTCATCGTCTCGCGCCTGAAGGTGGCGCGTGCCCCACTGACAAAGAGCACGGGGACGAGGAGGCTGGTGGGTGGCCGCGCTTCTTCACGCCGATGGCGCACCTCTGCGTGTTCAGCTCGCAGCAGGTGTGAAGTGCTGCGTGTTGGATTTATTCCGTCCCCATGCGAATAGAGTCGGTTGACATCTTGCTACGTTACATTGATGTGATATCACGAACGTTTGTTGTCGACACGTGACCTCCCTACGACAATGGTTCTTTAGACCGGGAACACCCGACCGGTTCCAGTATGCATTGCACGTATATGTACATGTGCACGTGATACAATACTGTTCCCCAAAATTTCCCGGGTGAGGCAGGATTTTCGTAGCTTCTTGGCTACTCGAGACCTAAACAAACCGCCAGATGGTCGACACCTTGGCATGGACGAAGACGAAGGCGGTGACCTGCCGCATGCGTGGGATCAGGACCCAGACATCAGAAAGGCCCTGGAGGGCACGGCGATGGATCAAGTACAGGCAATGGCGGTCAGTACCATAAAAGTGGCGTGGTGGGGGGCTTTTGTTTTTTTTCTCTGGCGTGTACTACTCTTCCAATGAACGGAAGCTTGCAAAAGTGCACGATTGGGAATCATCGGGGCTTATGACCAGCATGCGGCACTTTTCTCCTCATTATTGTTGTGGTCAGTAGCTTGAGGCGCTGTGATCCTCCGCGAACATGTAACGCCTCTTCAACTTCGGCCATGAGATCCCCCCCTTACGCAGTACAGCCCCGTTGGTTGGGTGGTGGTTTGTGAGGGGCTAATTTGTTGAGTTCGCGGCGCCAGGTCCCTCGGGCGTCATGTTTCTTCGTTAAAGATGCATTTTAGCCGCCCACTCATGTCCCCCGCCGCGTCACGTTTGATTTCGTATTCTCGGGATCCTCCTCGATCGATGCTGTCATGGCAGAGGGTCCTGCACTACTTGCTCTCGCACGTCCAACCGCGTCTCCAAGGCAAAGTTCAGGCTGTCCTTCATGAGCCGGATGTAGCCTTTTTCTCCGACAAACCTGGGAAGTACGTGGGCATGTTCGTGCGCAAGACGGAAGGGCGGACGTACAAGTCACTCAAGATGACCGAAACGTTGGTGCGGGTTTGATATTTCGTTGTTGGCTGTCTGGCTTCGTTTTTGCGACCCGCCGTCAGGAACGGGTCATGGTGGCGCAAAGCGCTCGTGGGTCCCCCACCGAATCGAATGCACACATCTGATTCGAGCCGGGAGACAACTTCAAACCCACGTTGTCATGTGGTTTCCCTTTCGATCTTGCTTGGTTTGCTCTACCACCTACGAAGGGCCTGTTTGCCCCTCCATCTGACCATAAACCCGCCCAGGACTGTTTCGAACCAGCCAACGAGCCCCTTCGTGAATTGTGAACACGTGTCCATGATGTATTTCGTCGTTTACTCTCTTCCTAGGGGCACACAACCTTTTTTTTTTCTGGTGCCTCAGGACTCGCCTGTCTGCTCGAACACGGTGCCCGGACAAGATGCATTTTTCGAAGAATAACGGACCATTTCTTGCGACAAGACGTCAACGACAATATTGCCGTTGCAACGAACCTCTCGCGTTCTCCGTCAAATCGAAGGATTGCTTCGAAAAAGCGTTCAAGTACATCGAAGACTTGGACAGGTTCTCTGCCGGTCATATCAGCTTTTCGGAGATTACAGGAATTTTCTTGGTCTCGGAAGACACCACTGCCCTGCCAGAGGCCAAGAATATCGTGCGCCGGTACTTTGGAAAAGTCAAGAGTGATAAGGTTGTTCAGCTGGTTGCCGCTGATCCGGGGTCATCCGCCACGGAGGGTGAGGTCGATCTGAGCAGCAGTTGTGGAACATCCGATAGCGAGGTGAGCTGCCCGGTAGGTCGTCATCTGTTCGGCTCATCGAAAGCGATCGATCCACCTAGGGATCGCGTTGTGGTGGTGTGCGTTGGCCCGGAAACGGTGCCCTCTTCTCAAGCTATGTTCCATCAGAGAGGCAACATGCTCGTAAACATGGGTTCTTGTTGTGACCACGGCCGTGTCACACGGACAAACCGACAGTAGGCCACCACAGCAGGTTGCAAAACACATGGAGCTCTGCATGGGCTTCTGGAACGGAGTTGGTAGAATAGCGGTGCTATCCTTTTTTTGTGCGCAAGACGCATCTTCCATATTTTTCTGTCACTCGCAGCGCACATGTAATGGGGGCAAAACATCACGTAATATTAATGTCCCATCGCCCGCTTTTCGTCGTCGTGCGCATCTCCACCCCTACGATTTCAAGCTTTCACCGGTTTCCCGCAGTGGTGCCCCGTGCCGCCCCACGTTCCCCCCCTTGTCTGCCAACCCCAGTGGATGCCTACTTCCAAAACAAGCTTACCATTTGCCCTTTCCCTTTTGCCCTCCTCCGACGACCCCGGCCAACAACAGAGAGAAATGGCGTTGAAACAGACTCTGGTGGAGTTGCAACTGTTGGCACAAGCCGACGTGTTCGTGGGGGTTGCTTCGGAAAGCTTCAGCAAGCTCGTGTTCCTCATGCGAGAGACCCTCCACTTCGCCAGAAAGACATCGCTCAGCATGGACAAGGCGACGCCGTTTCCCGGGATGTTCCGCTAGAGGATGCCCTCTAGCTACGGTGGGCAGCTTCACCCGAGAAAAACCTGACTGCGAGAAAAAGGCGCTCGTCATCGAGGATGGACCAGCCCGTCCCATGCCGAGATGGTGTCGTCCGGAAATTTGCGGCGCGTGCTTCCCCCGTCCCCTGTTCCTAGATTATGCCGAGATTTCATCCGGTATCCCAAGAGCATGGATCGTAGCCCCGAAACACGAACAAGGAAGCGCACAAGACAACACGTTCTCCGTACAATAAATGGCGAGGGAAGAGAGCTCAATCAAGTGTTGCAGGCGTTTCGTTTGGAACTGGAACGACTGGCCCAATGATGTTCCGTCACAAGCTGGATGCATGGTGAAACGACCAAACGGCCAAAAAAACATGAGCGCTCCCTCTCACATTCCATTCGTGGGTGGAACGAGCGTTCACTTAGACGCACTGACTCACCGTGGGCGGCAAAAAAAAGCGTGGCCTACATAGTCTAACGTAGCAAGCACTTTCACCTGGCCCTCACTGTAGACTAACTCAACCATCATTCACCTACACACACGCTACAAAACTATGACGGCCCCCAACGTACCAACCACCAGTCTACTTTACGTTGAATATATCTGCCGTCCGGAAGTTTCCCACACCCCGTGCTCATGATCAGTTGACAAAAACCGCTGTATGTATTGTCCCATGTAGAGCATGCATGCATACCGCGCCCGCAACCACGAATGAATGAATTAGTTAGTCGCCCTAGCACAGGGTGATGTTGGCACCTAAATGACGAGTTTAGTGTAGGATCTATATCGATCTCCGCCACCAAAACGGTGTTTCTCGACCCTAGTTTCTTCGTTTACAGGAGAATTTGGATGCTTGCTCCTTGTTGGGAAAAAATGCCCGTTCCGCCGTCGGCGTGTAAGCGCACAGCAAAACACGTGGTGAGTGAGTGAGTTTTGCCCCTCCCTGTTCTGCGAACTACATGCAAGCCCATTGCTAGCGCACGGAAACTACTGCTGTGCCTGCTGTTAAGGAGTGTGGCTGCTAGCATGAATAGGGTACATCTTATTCTTGATATGATGCGGGTCGGTCAGGAGGTATACCCTTCTGACCCCTACCCCTTTAGCAGTGTCTACTCTGTGTACCCCCTGAGATGAAGTTGGATCCCCACTTCATCCCAGACCTTTGCTGATCGTCTCTCAGCAATAACAAGCAACTTTCCCATCTCAACGTGGTCGTGGACAAGCGTGTCAACGACAGAACCTTCATCTATCTCTCGGAGCAAGCCACCGCTCACGGCATCACTCCTTGAAACTTGGCGTCAGCTGGCATTACACGGTAAGCGGGTGCTGGACGCGGCTTCCACACTGCTGTGTGTTGTTGCCACGCTTTTTTCACAACCACCGGGTTGCTTGACATTTGGTCTCACCACCCACGAGAATCTAGACTTAGCCTCTTGTCTGCTTCCTCTCCTGTAGAGATGCTGGCTTGTGATGCTTTTGCGAAGCGCCCGCGGGACTGGGACCTTGCAAAGGATACGCGCCTCGGAGGCCATCGCGATGTTTTGGGTGATTTCTCGTACGTTTGCCGCCCCTCGAAAGCTATTTTGTCTGCGNAGAGATGCTGGCTTGTGATGCTTTTGCGAAACGCCCGCGGGACTGGTACCTTGCAAAGGATACGCGCCTCGGTGGCCATCGCGATGTTTTGGGTGGTTTTTCGTACCTCCGCCGTTCCTCAAAAGCTATTTCGTCTGCGTTGGCGGTCCATGAAGTGATTTCTGTGGCGGATACGCTCTGCATGGAGCGACCTGAGTTGCTGGCGTTGTGTAGTGGGACCCGAGATGACAGCATGCTTCCCACGTCTGCTACCACCTCTACTGCATTCATGCCGGCGTACCGGCTGATGTCCGCGGATTTTCCTGTTGTGCTGTCCGTTTTGACTCCGCTTGCATCGACTTGGAACGCGATGTGTGCGCACAAATTGGGTGTCAGCCGCCCCACCAGCCTTCGCTCCATTTTTCGAAACCACGTGTCACTTTTTTTCGAAGAATCGTTCACCCTCAAAGCAATTGGATTGGAAACCTTTCAACAGCGCAAACCCACAGCGGTCTTTGCTCGCACTTCGGCGCCAGTTGCGGAGGAACGCCGTGCTGCTCTGCGTGTCTTTTGGTCGGAAACCCTCGTGTCTCCATGAAACACGGGCCCTTTTTGTGCTAGCTTCTACTGCTGTTTGTGCGTGGCAAGGAATGCTTTTGGACGCTTTTTCTGCTTGGTTGGATCCGCTTCAACCTCGTGTGCACCAAGCTTTTATCACTGGGAGTATGCTTTCCTGTGGGTATCTCCGCCTTTCGCATGGACCTCGGCTTGCTTTTCC